TAAATAAAATATTTCCCACGGATATCTGGCGTAAGGGTGGATATTTCTAAGAGAAACACGGTAACAACAAGATCATCCGAATAGCTGACAGGGAATTATTCGGCAACTGCAAGTACTCTAACAGCTCCGCGTGATTGCCATCGGTTTTAATTAAAATTTCGTGCCAGGGTAACGAGCTCCGACTCGCACCGGGGCGAGTTTCGGCCGGAAGTTGAACGTTTTGCCAGAGGACCGAACGCGGACTCGAGGGAAACTGCGAGTTCTCCGCGGAGAGAGTGCGCGGTTGCGATTATTAAACGCACGAAATTACCGTTAATACAGTCGACGCGAATGCATCGACTTTAATTGGTATGCGCCGAGTACCATTAACGTTTTAATTAGCGGCAAGCAAGCCCGATCCACGTCGACCGACATTTCCTTTCGATGCCTTCGCCATTACCTGCTCAAACGTCAACATTCTGTTCGCCGAACAGACGCATTTTGCTCCCCTAACGCGAGTTCTGTGGCAAATATGCCTCTCCAAATTCGATTAACCTCTTCAGGGGGACACTACCCCGATGAGATTTGAAATTTTTTTTCTAGCTATTTATTGTAAATGAAAAATGTAATTGTCATCGACGAATATAAATGTAAGTTTCAGCTCTCTTTCGCAGTTTTTCCTGAGTAAGAATCGTACAAAATGGCGAAGTTATTCGCTGCTCCCCGAAACCCCTATTGACAGGACATTGGATATTGGTCGTCGCAATTGTCGGGAATCGAGACGTCCAAAATGAAAAAATTTTATTGATTCATGAACTAGGAACTATTATCTAAAACGTAACCCACGGGTTTTTGAAAATTTTAATAATCCTAGAAATGGTCGCAGCTTTAATAGAAAATAATCATTTTTGCCCCCCAAGAAACTACTGCCACTTTGAACGTCAGTAAAAAATTAAATAATCCATATATCAGAAAAATTTTTAGCTGTATTGTAGAATATTCTATGCACAATATCTGTGTAAAATTTGAAGTAAATTGGACGTACAATTGCGAAGATTTTGACTTTAAATGTTCGCTTTGACGTAAGTTTAAAACGTAAACGTAACGTAGTTTCAAACTTAAAAAAAAAAGAAACAAATTTTTTCAAAATTCCAAAAAATCCACCAGGGTGGTGTCCCTCCTTTTACGACTGTTATTATTTTCGAAAAATTGAGAAAATTTGGAATACTCTGGAAATATGTGTCAATAGCAAGACAAGAAAACTGCATTGATAACTTATGGTTTCTCCACGCGTGTTCAATGTCACGCGTATAGCTTGCGAAAGAAATATATGGGGAAAGGGTAATTGTAAATTATACAGATCGATGATGATAGGTAGCAGATCGGTATGGCAGGGTATAATTATCCGAGGTATAATACTTAGGCGTATTTGCCGTATCAGCTTCTTGGTCGTTCGATCCTACGTGCGATTATGGTAATAAGTTGGCGATAAACTGTTTACAGTAGAAGCTAAGAATCACTGTCTACGGATTCGAGATTGTCAAACCAGAGCCGAATTTCGTATCTCGATGATACGATACATCAACACCGGTATGACGAGTTGACGAATAAGAGCGTACAAAATTGTTATACCTTGCTGCTATAGTAATTAAATTGTCACGGATATTTGCAAGCCAATTTTTGTCCAATTTAAATTCGCCGAATCACTTTTCTTTCGAACCTTCCTCCGCTTATTTAGCTTTATTTGCGTGCGTCGAATGAGAGTGCGTTTCCAATTAATGGATTAACATAGTGAACACGTGTCACATAATTCGAGAGCATATTGCTCGTTCATTGTTCCCCGATTTTACGAGCCGTGACACGATTGCGTTTGTACACCCCTGTGCGTTGGAAATTGCTTTCGAAATAAGTAGGTACACGATTTCGTGCTGTCACGGGTATCTCCGATCTGTCAAGAGTAATAAAATCGTGATCCAGAATCTCCTCGCGTGTTCGTCGTTCAGGAGGGACCAATATATTTTCCGCCATTTTTAGTCCGGGTATATAGCGACGAAACTTGAGTTAGCAATTACGGTATGACTTTATTTTAACATTTTTCAATAAAATTAACATAGATGTTGCGTGATAAATTTACGTGTCGACAGAGGATCGATATACAGGGTGCATATCTTATCAGAGTAAACATCTCGTACAATTGTAAGGACACATAAGATGTTCCATATGCAATTTTAATGGTGCGAAGAGACCAATACTTTTTAAAGTCATGAATATTTATTTTTGGCTTAGCGTTGCTGATGTTAAAATATATTCGGAGATTACCATCGAATTGACTTGATTAGGGACTCCAATTACACGAAAAATACAGGCTCTCCTTGTGTAATTGAGGGACGTGGGCCAATTTTGGGATTCATTCGCGATTTTTTCGAACAGTTCTGTCCTGGATTGCGATTTCTTCGACCACCTCGGTTCTGGTTCGCGATTCTTTTGACCAACGCGGTCCTCGATCGCGATTTCTTCGACCACCTCCGTCCTGGATCGAGATTTCTTCGACCAATTCTGTCCTGAATCGCGATTTCTTCGACCACCTCGGTCCTCGATCGCGATTCTTTCGACCACGTGGGTCCCGGATCGCGATTTCTTTGACCACTTTGGTCCTGGATCGCGATTTCTTTGACCGCTTTAGTCTTGAACCGTGATTCTTTACACCACTTCGGTCCTAGATCGCGATTTTTTCGACCACCTTTTTACTAGATCGGAATTCTTTTGACCACCGCTCGATTTCCTCCACTTCGCGAAATGCTGCGAATTACACGAAGTACTACAAAGTGGACGATTCCTCGATCTGCAGCTTATTCACCGGAATACTTGCCGTCTAGGCCAAAGCGACTCGCACTTTTTCTGCTCTCATGGCGCTGCATTACTCGCGGGGAATGGAGTGCTGGTGAATAATGACACGCGCGAAACGGTGGAGGGAAGGAATTATTCCTCGTGTCGTCGAGAAGCAAGCAACTCGAGCATTGACAAATCACTTTCGGCCATACGAGATACGAGAGCGAAACAACGTTTCACTTTGCAGCCGGCTAGACAGACACGTCGCAGCTTTTTAACCAGCCTCTAGTGATTTCCTGTGATTTCGTCCGGGATCCAGAAGCGGACAATTCGATTTGGACGCTTTTCACGAACCGTTTGAAAAAAATTGTGGTTCCTCGCGAAGAGAGGGAAGTGAAGAAAGTTATCGTGTCGTAATTTTCTTCCCACGTTTTCTTCTTTTTTCCAGCGATGCGGATCTTTCTCGGAAAGGAAAGCTGTTTACCTCGACGTAAGAAGTTTTTTAATTGATCCAGCGCTTTCAGTGCGACGCTGCTTCGTCGGAGAGAAGTGAGTTGAACTTTTTAATTAGTCGAACTCTCCTCGAACTTTTTTCTGTACGACGTGAGAACTTGAAGCGAATTAACGACACCCGATTTTCCTTTCTAGTCCGTATGTAAAGGATGGTACAATTGGCCAGAGTGCGAATCTACGTTAAAATATAAGTCAAATATATAGAACGAGACCGCGTTTTCGAGGAAATCTTTAAATATTCCCCAAGTACTCTACTTGTAATTAACTATAAATCAGTGAACGTCACATCTCGCGAGGTCTGTATACGTTCACAATTTTTATTCCCACGCCCCTGGAACCTCTGCAACCCCTCGCGCTATGATTCAATGATCCCGAGGATCGATCTATTGGGAAAGCATGTAATTTCGCAAAATTACGCAAACGTTCAGAATTTCTGCGAATTTCATTCGTGTCAAGGATTGTTAAGAATAATTTTACTCGCTCGACGAAAGTAACTCATCTTCATGTTCTATATATCGGTATGAAAACCGACGATGAGCTAGACTCGTTAATGAAAGTTCGCGTGTACGCAAAGCATAACGAGTTACGCGCAGAAAATCACTCGGAGTGGATATCGAGTGAAAATGAAGGATTAAAGTTTCGACGACTTTTTCTTCGCTTAAATGGGATCTCACGGGGAGAAATTTTAATTACAGCGCGTATACATTTTCTTCTTTCCTTTCTCGCGAAAGGAGCACCTTTGATCCGGCATTCCCGACGAGATCGCGGGTATCACGGGAATCTGGGCAAGGGAAAATTTGTTCCATCGTCGATAAAGCGGAGTGGAGAAAATTGAGAGCAAATTCTATTCCCCTGAGCGAAAGGACGGGGACGAGAGGGAGCGCAATAAAATGCACGTATAAGGGAAGCTATAGAAAACCGGGACAAGTGTGTCTGGACGTAAAACGAATGCAAATTTACATACGCGCGGTGAGGAAGACACGGGAGAACATATCCGATAATGGCACGGGATTCATGATCCCGGGCGCGTGCTACGCGCGGAATTTAATACCTATAGCACGCGAGAGTGCATCGAATTCGAAAATAACGCGATCTGGCTGAGCGAGATCGCGTAGAAACGCGGTAACTCGTCAAGACCGACAGGTGTACCTGTTCCCGAGAAGAAAGCCTTTCTCTGTATATATATATTACGAATTCGTCGTGAAACGAAAACGAACGAGGAAACGTGCTGGAAGCGCGAAATATCGGGGCTATCGAGGAAACTTCGCGCGAAGGATCGAGAACGGGGCAGGAGGAGGGCGTTGAAAAGGGCCCCGAATTTTCGTGTAAAATGCAAATTAGCCTTCTGAACGTTTCCGACGACGCGGCATTAAACCCCGGATAAAGTACAAGCACCGGTGCAAACGAAATTCCGAGGCTGGAGCGCGTTTCCTTTCCGGGACCCCATAAACGGGCCGCTGCACGCAGCGCTACAAGGTGTTTCTAAATCGCGGCGTCCGCGATCTTGCATCATTTTGTCCCCTGTTTTATTCCCTGGGTCGGTCCCGACGCTTTCGACCGGAGTATAGGTCGAAAAATCCGAGAAAAATGAGGGAAAATCGAGAAAATATGGAGTGCGGATAGACCGGCAGCCTGGTCGAGGGACACGAGACGAGGCGGATTTATCAGCTATTACGTACCTCGGACAAGGAGTCCTCCATCATATCCGTGGTATCTCTCATGACTCCCAATGGAAACTAGCACCGACAACAATCACTCAACGCCCACGTTTTATCCGTTTCCTCCTCGGTCTCTCGCTAGTCCGGTCTACGTTTCACTGTCTCTCGCCTTCCTCTTCCTCTTCCTCTTCTTCTTCTTCTTCTTCTTCTTCTTCTTCTTCTTCTTGGTCGTGTTCTTCTTCTTCTTCGGGTTTCCTTGGCCGATCAACGGATGAATGTTCGGCTGAAGGCTGGCGTATCGGTGAGCAACGAGCGATTCGAGGAACAGGCTACTCTTGTCACGAGCACATTGCGCGGACCGTGTTTTCGGAGCGTGTTCGTTTAAAACGCACGTACAACTTGGTCGTTGGATCGATCGTATCGCAACGTGTCACTTTCCTCCCTCTCTCTCCGCTCGGTACCTCTCTCTGTACCCTCTCCCGTCTCTCTCTATTGCCCTCTATATCCTCCGCCGTTCACCCGTCTCCCTTCGCGAGCGTGTACTCGCGACACACGCAGCTTCCGTTTCCGACCTGCCGACGATGTCGAGGAGGACGACGAAGAGGACGACGAAGAGGACGACGAAGAGGACGACGAAGAGGACAACGAAGAGGAGGATGGTCCGACGTACAGACGGTCCCGTAGAGCAGGTATCGAGAGGGGTCGGCGACGACGACGACGGCGACTACGCGATGGCATTCGAGCGTGGCGAGCTTGACGAGCTCAGGAGCGAATCGCGAGCCGACCCATCGGTGGACGCGGCTTTGGAAACACTGGCGAGCGCTGTCAGGTAACGCGAGGGAGCAGGTCGACGGACAGCCAGCAAGCAGACCTGCCTCCATGACACTGGGTCCGTCTCCCTCCACCCAAGCGCGCTCTCTCCCTCGCACCTACTACCGCTTGCAGCTGCCGAGCCTCCCCTACCGCGCCGCGTCGATCCCCACTCCGCTGGAACCGCGGAGAGCCGAGGCCTCCCCACTCCTGCCGCGGCCTGCATTTTCCTACCGCTTCCCCTCTTCTGCCTTTGCTATCCCTCTTTCTCCGTCTTAGCTTCCTTTCTCTCTCTTCCATCCGCGCGTGTCTCTGTCTCTCTCTGGGCCCTCTGCCAGTATATATCTCGCTCTCTTTCACCGTCTTGTCTTTCTCTGTAAATCTCTCTCTCACTGTATCTCCTTCTTTTCCTGTCTTCGCTCTCTGTGAATCTCTCTCTGTATATTTCTCCCTCCTTTTTCGTCTTCGCTCTCTGTGAATCTCTCTCTTATTCTCTGTCTTCGCTCTCTATGAATCTCCCTCTGTATATCTCTCTGTGAATATCTATCTATGTATCTCTCTCTCCTTGTAAATCTCCTGTCTCCTTTTGTCTTTTCCCTTACTGTACTTCTCTCCCTTTCCCTAGCTTTTCTCTCTATATCACACTCTCTCTCTCTCTCTTTCTCCATCTTTTCTCTCACTACTTACATGCAGTTCTGTCTCTCCCTTCGTCTCTCCTCCTATTCATATATCTATCCGATTCCTGTTCTTCTTCCTCCGCGAACAACCCCTCTCTCACTCTCTCTCTCTCTCATCCCGGCGAAGCTCTCCAGAATCTAGGAGTTTCCCGTAGACCTCGAACCTCGCGGATCCGAGCGCGGATTTCGAAGCATCGCATGAGAGAGAGAGAGAGATTCCTCAAGACTCCCAAGGCGGTTTCGAGTTCTCGGTGTTCCAGGCCGATTTATAGGTCGCGGGGTCAGTGCGAGGCCCAGCCAGGATCAGGATCGGGAGAGACTAGGTATCGTGGCAAGGACAAAACTGTGTCACGACAGAGAGCATGCCGCAAATTTCGGGCTCCCAGAGGAGTGCTCTCGCAGCACTACAAAGCTGTTCACGCGTCCTGCGCAGGGCAACGGGCAGACGAACAGCTGCTATTTCACCTGTTCGATATATTATTTAAATGCTCCACCTGCCGCGATGTCCAGATACCGCGAGATAAGCCGGCAAACGTTTCCTGCTTTCACGACGATATCGCGATATCGCGGGGTCCTCTTCGGGGCTCCTTGCAGCAAGCTTTTCGCCACACGCTCCTTGCGAACGCGAGCGATTCGATCGACGTGATCGAGGATCAACGCCGAACCTACCACGACCAGGCAAATTAACCGATGGACGAGGAAAGGAAAACAGAAGAATCTCGAGAGATAAAATATTCACAAATCGATTGCACCTATACGAGTGACCAAATACATGACACCGAATGTGGAATTTTAGATGAAATTTTTGGAAATAGTCGTGTAAGCCTCTGCACTATATTAACGAGCCTAACTCGACGCGAATCGAGGTTTGATTTTCTCTTTCATTCGATCTGTCTCGATAGGCCTGACATCAAACGAAGAGAAAGAGTTAGGAAAACACGCGTTTATTAAAATTTCTGAGTACAAGCTTTGGTGTTCGCGAGAGGAGCACTGGGATAGTAGAATATACTGTTGACAAGATTTTGCATAAAGTCTCTCGGGACTAGTTCCTCCTGCGTTGCTTCAGAGGGAAGATCATCGTTGGGAATCGCTAAGGAAGATCACTCGACGATCCTCGCCGACTAATATAGGGCTGATCTTCTTCATGTACTTGATTAATTGCTTCCAGTCTATTACTCCCAGCTGATGATTTCTGCCGCAGGTTTCGAAGACTGTGAATCCGTCCCCGGCGTGGACGAGGAAGGTAGGCACAACGATTCTGTACCATTCGTCTAACTTCAATTCCTCGAACCTTGGCACCTCGCAGACTCGACACCTGGGGAAAAGGAATTGCTCGTAATCGCGGTGGAATCTCCGTTAAGTAAGTACGATGAAATTAAAATTGGATTAAATTAAATTAAACGTATAGCATAATCAGAAAGAGACGTTTAAAACTTTTCTATGAATTATGTTTCATTTATAATCTATTCGTGATCTAGAAAATCACAAAAATCGCGTCACCTTATTTTAACGTCGACTACCTTCCTGGAAGCCCCATCGAGTTTGTAAATCACCTTCAATCCCGACCACAGCAATACATCCTCCATTTGCAAGATCTGAAATAACCAAACTGTGAAAACAGTGTACAAATATGTCCATAAGCTGTTAATTTTTGAACAGGCAGGTAGAACGAGAAGGGAAAAAGATGGGCGCCTGACGCATGGCAACACCTGTTACACGCCGGTAATAACGACTCCCGTTGACAGGGGCCGAGTGGTATATAGTCTGGACAAAAACCGATTTCATTTTTCTCGGCAAGTAAATTCACGTCCTTCCTTAATTCCCTATCTCTCTACGAGATCTGTATCGAGTTTTTTTCGAATTTTTTTTCAGTGTACAGCAGCGAGGAGACCTGTAGGATGCAGCTGCCATTTAATTCGAGTACGTCCCACGTGTTCTCGAAAGGTTGAGCCATCATCAAATCGGCTAGAGTGATGTCTTCAGTCATGGAGTCGATGGAAGCCCGTACTCCTCCGGGATTCAGGACGCCAACTGCAGCATACGTCCATGCGGTTTTGTCCTCCGCTTTCTCTACGTACTGCGACCAAATAACAGCGAAGATCGTTAACGAATCGGTAATTCAATTCATCTCGAAATAATTCGGTAATAGACTTCGCTTACAGCGTCGACCATCGCGTCTGTGATCAAATTGCCCAAGTTGCACTCCTTTTGGTGACATCGATCGTCCAGATAAACCCTCGATCGAGCGATCTTGGTCCCAGCGAACTCGTCCACGCTCGCCTTCCATGGCTCCAACGCCTTCAGCATCTCGGGATCTGGAAGATTTTTCGAATTACATTACAGCTCGCTGATTTTTTCAATTTCACCCAAGAGCCAAGCTCAATCTATACTACAAACAGCTGTAATTTCGCGAGGACAGATCGTACGATAGCATTTATGGAGTCGATATAAACGACAAAGCCTGTACTTTCATATTTCTGGATTGAATTTTTACTCGGATGATTTTACGGTGAAAAACAGAGACTGGTTTTCTCTCGAAGAAACTCGTAAATTGCAAAAATTCACTCGTTCGTGCTTCTCTTAAGAATTAAAGAATTTTCTTCGACGTCTGAATTAACACCAATCGAACCACTCGAGTCTTCAATTTTCGAGAGCTCTATTGAAATTAATGTGCGATTTTTCGTTACCGTGTGATTTCACCGTGTATACCCGATTTCCTCGAGTCGAGGAAGAATCGCGAAAGCTGAAGAATCGACCGGTTCGAGGAGGAGCATAATAATGGAAGAGATTTGTGTAACTCCTACCTTCCTCGACGGAGTAATCGAGGAGAATCGGATTTCCGTCCCAATCAACCACCTCGCCCTGCTGGTCGAACCACACCGTCAAGTTGCCCAGATACCTGACGCAAACAGGGAACCACTTCTTCATTCTCGCGAAGGAAAACAGACGAAACAAGCAGTTTCTTATCGGGAACAAATTACAAACTTTGTGAAAGCCGCCGCTTGAACGATCAGCACCGTTCTGTTCGTCTTCTCTTGGACCACCACCACAGGGTATTCATCTTCTGGTTGGTCGATGAAAGGAGGTGGCCCTGGAAATCGATTACTTGACGACCACTGTGTCATCGTGTTTAAGGAATTCACGAGTCAATCTTTCCAAGTTTCCCTTTTTAAGGGGATCTTCCGGTCTGGAGGCTTCTAAAGAAAGCACTTCTTCGCTAATTTTCCCAGAAGAATCCACGAGAGCTATTAATACAGTTTCTTTGGCATCCATTGATACGTGTTTCGAGAGCATTCCAAATATTTTCTAACGAGAAATAACCACTGTTGTAAAAGTTATTGAAACATATGTACAGGATAATTGAGAAAACACGTCTAGCATTTTGACACGATTGCGGCTCTCCTATTCATTCGAAACAAACAAATTTGGAAGCATACTGTTTAGTAAGGTAGCAGTTATGGTTGGAATTAAGGAATATAAAAAATCTCCTGATTTTAAGAAATGGCGGTATTTTAAATTTGGAAGACCGATTTTCTATCGTTCCTTGTCACTTGAATCTTTAAAAAAAATAGCAAGTCACGTTGGATTTTAATTATTTTGGTCTCGACGATGAAGGGACATCCTCTGAAGGTACCTTCCTAATTTCAAGTCGATTGATTAATTAAAAATCGAGTTATCGCGTGAACACTTTTCAAAAGTACAGTTTCGAAAAAGACGCGATTATAGTTTTCTGATTAAATATTCGAGCTCTGATTGATTCATGTTTCGTGTGTAGGGTGAACAACCAACTTCTAATAGATCAGTCCTTCCTTTATAGACCACCATAAGCACAAAGATCGCGGTAAATCTAGAAACCTGATAACAAAACAGCAGCTATATGACTTCTATTCCAATTTTCCGAATTTCGTGAAATTAATTCACCTAAGTGTTAAAAAAATAAAAAATAGGGTGGATTCTTTTAATCCTCTAGACCGGAACATCCCCTTAACACAAAACCTACCACAGCCCACATAATTAATTTGATTAAAAATTCTTAACATTATGACTTTCGTCATTCGAATTCTCGATTTTTCCTCGAATATAAGTACAGGTAGCCCTTCTTCAACGCGGCATCCTATAACACGGTTTCACTATAACACGATTCGTAAATTGTGAGAACCCTCCTACAACAAGGTTTCGCTCTAAGAAAATACGATAAGAAAATTGCAAAAACCTTTGTACAACACTGTACTTCTACATAAGCAGTGACGATGAAGAAATTTATTAAATTAAAGTTGCGTTAAATTAAAATAATATTTCTGTTTCTTATTTGTTTCGTGTTGCACATACATTTATATTTTTAATAAAAATTAAGTTGTCTGTGTAGAATTAGAAAAGAAATTTGTTTTTAGTAAGTTTTCGGAACGTAACCCTCCTTTTTGTACTGGCTCTGGGTCTCATACATGGTTTTACAAAACACGGAATTTTTTAGGAACCTATCTACCGTGTTATAGGAGGGTTACCTGTATCATAAATTTCCCGATATCTCGGTTTGTTCTATTTTCTTTGAACTCTCCCTTCTTTCATTTCTCCATCTATCGTTCGTGGTAGGTTCAGCGTTGAGCTCGTTTCTTCCCCTGCCATCTCTAATTTTTCCCTTCTTCCAAGGAACAGACGTGTAGCAAATTGATAGGAGTTTGCAAATACCCGAGTAAAGGAACGTGTGAGAGTGTCCACCGACAATCACGTCGACTAAGGGACACTTGGCTGCCATTATTCTGTCCACGTGCAGTCCGCAATGGCTTAAAACGATAATAACGTCGATCCCCTGGGACTTCAATCTCCGTGCCTCGTCATTCACCGATTCCACCTCGTCCAGGAACTTTAATTTCCCGGTAATGGAAATTCTCTGGCAATTTGTAAATTTCAATCAAGCACCAGAGCAACGTCGAATCGCTCTTCCGGTTAAACCTTCGTCGCGATGATCGTCTCCCATTGTCTGCCTCTTTCGATTATTCTTCTTGCGGATTCTTCGAATCGGTTTAATCGTATCGACGATTAAAATATAATTTAATCGCGACCTTTACCACTGCTTTCGTCTGCTCTTGGAGGAGAGAACGAGACGAGAACCAGAAGCCGGGTACCTTGACCTGACTAATTGATATTAGCAGAGGATGAGAGTATGGGATTCTATCGATTGCGTCAACGAAGGTTTAGAAAGTGGAATTTAACACTAGGTTTACGGACGCTATCTGCATACCTATTTCTGAGAACACCTGTCAAATTGACAGGTAAAGGAATCCACATGCTTTTTCTTTAACGATTAGTTTAATTTAAAAACAATTATATATTATATTAACAGTCTTAACCCTTTGCACTCGAGAGGTGACTCTCAGTCACCATTTAATCAGATTCTAAAGATCGACGTTAATTAATATATCAAATTTAAAATTACCTAACGATGTGTGGAATGTCGAAGAAAAATAATTTTACGTCTTAATTTGCATGTGATTCCTCATTTACCATTTTAAAAATATCATCGACTCTATGACAGAAAGTCTTCGAATTACTATTTTTCTGTAACGAAAAATTCGTCGAGTGCAAAGGGTTAATATAAGTTGACTGAATCTGTTACCATCGTATAATTGAAGCAACCCTTCCGTCAAATTGATAGGTTCCGTAAATCTAGTGTTAAAATTCTACGATGGATACGAACATTCGTGGTTGATAGAATAACGCCTATCACTCCGATCTTCGTGCCATTCCTCTCCAGTACCGTGCTGTTCTTGTAGAGACCCTGGACATCGACGGGATAATGAAAGCCCCGATAATAGCGTGGAAAATTAGCGTACCGACCTGCATCGTGGGCTCCTCGCTGGAGTCGATGTTCGTCACTACCACCGGCGCCTTGACCATCTTCAAAAACGGTACCACACCTTCGACCTTGTTATCGAACTCGTGATTTCCTATTGTCTGAAAGATCATTTACTGTTTGTTAAAGTTAAGGCCTAAATCACCGTAAAACTCTGGTTGAAAATTCCGTGTGCTACGTCATCGTCTTGCAAGGAGAGTGCGAGTGCCTCGGGACACCGATTTAGTTGAAACTTTGAAGGTTTGTAGATATCGTCATGCACTTTAAGAATATATACCACTATAGCGGAAACTATTCAATAATTTGTGAGATATTTACGATTAAAGTTTTATTACTTATTTAATTACAGATTTATTTCCATCAGTTCACAAGTGGCGTCTTGGCGTAATGGGGATGGTCGAGAATTGCCAAACTTCACCAAATTCATCAGCAACCACAACCTATACAGAGAAGCGCAAATAACCAGAATAGACCTCTTCATACTTAAACTAATCAGAAACCATTGGCACAAACTTGACAGAAGTACAACAAACCCACTAGTGGCTCACTCCATATATCCCAATCTGCTCTACTTCGACTCCACCAGACACACAGGCTACACACCACCCGAGTCGTTTACCTACCTGGATAAAGAGGGTTTTATTCAAAATGGAAACAATATCCCACTAATATACCATTTCAATAGAAAAGCGACTGACAACAAAATAGAATACAGCCCAAACATCGCACCTAACGACCACCAATTAAAATATACATACAAATTAACCCACCTAGATATAAGAGACAACCCCAAAGACAACATAAAAAAATACTGGTGGCTCGAATAAGTATAAGCCACCATATATAGTCTTATATAGATAACCAATTTAAACAATGTTAACCTAAGCCCATCCCAGAATCAGTTAGCGAGCATCCCCCAACCGAGCGAGAAATCGCAGTTCGATTCCCCGCAGGGGGGTAAGAATATTTTGTTACATTAGTTTATATATTATGTTATATTATTTTATATTTTGTTACATTAGTTTATATATTATGTTATATTATTTTATATTTTGTTACATTAGTTTATATATTATGTTATATTATTTTATATTTTGTTACATTAGTTTATATATTATGTTATATTATTTTATATTTTGTTACATTAGTTTATATATTATGTTATATTATTTTATATTTTGTTACATTAGTTTATATATTATGTTATATTATTTTATATTTTGTTACATTAGTTTATATATTATGTTATATTATTTTATATTTTGTTACATTAGTTTATATATTATGTTATATTATTTTATATTTTGTTACATTAGTTTATATATTATGTTATATTATTTTATATTTTGTTACATTAGTTTATATATTATGTTATATTATTTTGTATATTGGATTTATCATCGTTTTCAATTATAGCCAAGAGTAAAACTAATTCTTAAGTAAACCACATGTATATAAACATTCTATTCGTAATAACCGCTCCCCTCTCCTCCCTTACCCCAGCGACAGATAAATATAGTTTTTACTGCCCTTTTCTATATTGTTTATACACCATAATTAAGTGCTCCCTACTTACCACGTCCCCACATAGCAATAAGTGCAATTACCCGTAAACCACCTGTACACTACGCGTACTCTGCCTCAGAGTCTTTAGTTTTATAAACCTAGGTTAACCACTATTCCTATTTATACGTTTAAGGATATTTCTTGTATTTGTTATTTATTATGTAAATACCCAGAGGCTTTAATAAACGTATGTTAAAAAAAAAAAAGAAATGGTTGAGAATTACTATTCTGAAGGACCGGAGTTCGATTCTTATAGTTGGTGTGGTTTTTTTTTTCAATCTATTTTTTATTTTGTGTTGATTTTTCGTGTATGAAAACATTGTAAATAAACAATTGTAAATAAACAAATGTGAATAAAATTTCTTAAAAAAAATTTATTTGTTACGCTTTCTTATTCAAGCATATATTTATTATAAAATAATAAGAATATTATGCAAGAAGAATACTTTTCCATAGCAATCTTATTTGCTACAAGAAATACAAAATCTTTCGCTCAGGTAAGTATTAATTATTAAATTAAACATTGTATAAGAATGTTGCTTATAATTCCAACTTTGCTGTGCAGCTATAAATGTTCACGAATTAATTAGAATATCTTGGAAATTTATTAATTTTCTACTGCCGAATTCATTTATTAATGTGTATTATATGCGCATTACCAGCAGTGGTATCGAGTTCGAATAAAAATTTTACCGCCTGCGATCAGCGCCATCTATGATTTGGGCTCAAAAAGCAAGAAAGTGATAGGAATATAGAATAGGTAAGGAGGTCGCCGAACAGCTTGTCACGTGACAGACAAGGACAGAGAGGGGATAGAAAAGGATAAAATGGCTCCGATGGAGGAAAATTAATAAATTACTCAATTTCTATAATTAATTTATGAACTTTTATAACTTCAGTGTAAAGCCGGAACTTCAAGCTATATTCTTATATAATATTCGCAAAGAATTTAACTCTAAATTGTTAGTTATTAATTTTTGTTTTATGGCGTCTATGATTTCGTAACGGCGACCATCACGATCTTCCGTGAAAATATTTAATACTCAACGAAATTAGAAGCAAAATGTGATTAAAAGTTATATGAGAAGATTCACAAGAACATTGTTTTTATAATGAGTGCATAAAGATTCATAAATTAATTGCGTAAAGAATAGTAATTAATGAATAATCAATGGCGTCTTCGACAATCTTCGACAATAATTCAAACACTGCGCAGAACAATTATTAATAATTAATTAATTAGGGACAAATTTATATCGAAAAATATATGTGAAAGTTCGTGAAGGATCTGGCTTTATGATGGTATTATAAAAGTTCATAAATTAATCACAGATATTGAGTAATTAGTGAATTTTCCACTGCCGATTTGATTTATTAAAATATATTCAGAGCACATAACCAGAGTTAGTAAACTGATATCAGAGCCATCTATGTTCTCGTTGCGGAACTCGAGCTTCGAGTCTAAAATCATAGATGGCTCTAATGTCAGTTTACTAACTCTGGTTATGTGCTCTGAATATATTTTAATAAATCAAATCGGCAGGGGAAAATTCACTAATTACTCAAAATCTGTGATTAATTTATGAACTTTTATAATTGCATCGTAAAGGCAGATCCTTCAAGAACTTTCCAATATATTTTTCGATAGAAATTTGTCCCTGATTAATTAATTATTAATAATTATTCTATGAAATGTTTGAATTATTGTCGAAGATTGTCGAAGACGCCATTGATTATTCATTAATTACTATTCTTTACGCAATTAATTTATGAATCTTTATGCACTCATTATAAAAACAATGTTCTTGTGAATCTTCTCATATAACTTTTAATCACATTTTGCTTCTAATTTCGTTGAGTATTAAATATTTTCACGGAAGATCGTGATGGTCGCCGTTACGAAATCATAGACGCCATAAAACAAAAATTAATAACTAACAATTTAGAGTTAAATTCTTTGCGAATATTATATAAGAAT